TTTTTTCAGCATTACAATGATTTAAAAAGAGAGAGCCCTATGATCTGCTAAAACTTAGACATCTAGGAAACAGACCCCCGTTTCTTCTAAATACAGTTCAAATTGTTGTTAAATCCCTCTATTTGAGTAGGACATCTTACACAGTTTCTAGTGCAGATGAGGAAACAGAGAAGCACACTCATTCTTCTTCTGTGCAGTGAGGCCCTCATCAGAGGATCTTTCTGGAAACCTCACAGTTGTCCTCACTAAGAGGTTCAGTGTGGCTGAGATCAATATTTCATACCATGACGCAATGTATTCTTTGAGCAGACGCTATTTCATTTATTTAAACAAGAAGGGTGAAATACCACATAATTTCATAAGAGCTGTGGATTTGGAGAGTTGAACGTACCTGAAATAGGCTCACTGAGACAGATCAGGAAATCAATTAAACACCAGGAAGACTCCCAAAATATCCTGATGTCGTGTGAAGGACAGCCTTGAGTGCAGGCTTCCAAAGGCAACCAACCCTACCACAGGCCTCAGAAACTCTGTAAAGAGCAGATGGAAAGAAACAACAGGCACTTGCAGAAGCGATTTTGAAGGGATCTCACGATGGAAACTCAGGTAGAGAAACAGCAACATTCCCAAATTCTCCCATATAAGACCCAATGGACCAGAAACAGCACAAAGGGACCCAGAGAAGGCCATGCCAGTTGGAAGCAAATTGAAGAATTATAACTGGCACAGAAAACAACACTCATGACAGTTAATTACCTCTGTTATTTTGTACTGTGGGGCTCTTTAGATGCAAGAAATGCCCCAGAAGCTGACATTTACTGTGTGTTCAGAGTATAAGCACAGCATGACACTGAGGGCAGATAACCAGAAACCTCATAAGAACCTCAGAAATGCCTGTCATTAGTTGCCAACCCATTTTGGGAGAGCATGAGATAGACTTCCGAATATACACAGGGATTAACAAATCAGCAAATTCAGGGTCATCTTAAAAAAGAATGAAAGCACCATTTATAAATCTAAAAATCTATACCCTACTGAAATCAAGTAAGATCCTAAGTACCTTCCTGGATCTGGGCCCAACCCTTCCAGGGCCAAATAGAAATAAATGCTGAAACGTCTAGGCCATTCTGCTAAATGTGAGAATAAGTGTTTTGGCCAGACTAAAACTGGGAAAAAGGCCATAGCAGAGATGTCTCTATTCTAGATGTCTACTCAACTACTCGGCTACCAGGCTTGGGCCAAGCCATGAGCTTTAAACATTGAGAACATGGGGTATAAATTTGGAAAGAGATACTTCAAATTATTCCAGAGACTGGAAGAGCTACAAGCTGCATCCCTGACTCTGCGAGAACTCCCCAGGAAGGGGCCAGTAAAAGCAGAGATCTGCCCTGTAATTTTCAGAGCAGACACCCTGAGTGGTGCACAGGCATGAGCATGGGCCGCCTACACCTTCCCAAGCTCACCGAGAAGCTCTGGGGAGGACATCAGGATCCCTCATGCCTCGAAGTCACTGTTGGGCAATTTAGCAAATATTTGCTGCCCCAGTTCACGTCACCAGTCGGTGCAGAATCTACGCTACAGACCTGCGGATCTATTTTTATATCGCAATCATTGTGTTCCTGTCAATCAGTGATGAATCAGAATGTGCTCTGAAGGCAATGAAGTGCTCTTTTATCTCCTGGGCATTCTTACTTCACTCTGCTAACATCCTGCTTAGGCTTCACTACACAGAAGGACCTGATAACATTGTCTAATTTACACTTCCCAGCTGTTTCTTTATTGGCCTGGTTAGTAAGGAAAAATCAACACAAAACCTGTCAGAAGGGGGAGTCACACCATGAAACGTGCTGAATTTTGGTGTTTCATCTGAGTCAGAGTTTCTCGAGGGTGAAGAGCATG